TTAAGAGTGATACTATTCAATATTATTGCCTATTGGTGTTACAACACTAATTTAAGTGACATTAAATGTTATCAAATGAAATATATAATTAAAATGAATCAAATAATTTTATCGTTAATTGAAACTATCACATAATATCAAATGAACTGGTACTAAACAATATTACTCTTTTATCAATATGACATAAAGATGAAATATCTAATCCTTGTTTGGGAAGAATTTATAAATAATTTAATTTATAAATAGATCAAAATATGTAGTGAATATAAGTGGATGGTCCTTTGTGAGTATATTGGACGTATGATTAAAAATAAAGTTTGATCATTTATAAATAAGCCAAATGAATGTTAGGATTGTGACTCAAATTTAGGGTTTGGAGTCAAGTTGTAGTGCGTTAAACTTGGAAAAGAATCAAATTGTATCCAAGATGAAAAAAGGACACGAGTCCCAAATCAGAGGAGGTTCCATGTGACCGCAAGGTTTTTAACCATGCAATCACCCATGGTCGTACATAAACTTTTCAATCCTGAAAAGTTCCTCCATGCACCACAAGGAATTTAACTGTGTGGTCGCACAATTATTTTTGGCGTTGTTCGAATTTTATGCGTTTTTACCTAATTTCTTCCCCTTCTAAGACTCTTTTAGGGTTTTTGGCCATCACCAGTAAAATATAGGTGCCATCTTTCAAATTTGTAGAAACTTTTATTGCTGAGTTGTATAATTCTCTCCATATTGTCGTTATATTAAAACATTGTTACTCTACTTAACTTTGTTTTGCATTTTACTTTAATATTGTTGTGATCTCATTACATATTTTATACTACGTCATTAATCTCAATTCTTGTGTTGCCTTTGGGATCAACAAGTGGTATCAGAGTTAGGCTGCAAATTCTTCGTGATTTGTTGGGATTTTTCAGAGATGGCTTCGTTGAAATATGATTTTCCGCTACTAGATGACAATATAAGGTTTTCTTCATGGCAAGTAAAGATAAGGCTATTCTGGCGTTGTTGGATTTTGACGATGCATTGCTAGGTTTTGAGAATATGCCAACTAATTGGACAACGGAAGAACAAGAAGGCTTTATCGCATATTCATCTTTATTTATCCAATAACATTCTACAGGCGTCTTGAAGGAGAAAACAACGGTTGCTTTGTAGTTGAAATTGAAGTAATTATGCATGACTAAAAATCTCACTAGCAAACTGGCTTTAAAGCAAAAGCTATATTCCCATTGCATGGCGGAATGAGGGTCATTGGAAGATCACATTACTATGTTTAAGGAAACAGTTTGCGGATTTAAAGATATTGAAAGTTAAGTACGATGAGAAGGATCTGGTTTTGATCTTGTTGTGTTTACTACTCATTTCTTTTTCGTCGTTTCGGGACATTATCTGTGATACTTTGACCATTGAGGATGCATATGATGCTCTGTTCTCAAGGGAGAAGATGAAGCATCTGGTTGGAGCTATATCTATGGATGAAGAAGCTTTGGTATCTCATGGTGATCGACGGAGGGACAGATCGAAAGTCAACTTCAGTGCAGAAGGAAAGAACACGTTAAGAAAGATAGCGATAAGTTGCAGGTTAAAGGTAATTTAGCTGCAAATCATAGGGGGCAATCATGCAATTTGGACTAGACAAATGTTATCGAGGATTTTTTGGATGGTGGTGATGTGATGTTCACTGTGGTATCTGATGAGGAGGGGATTCTAGATTCAAAATGTTCGCATCATATGTGTTCCAATTGAAAATTTTAGACATATGAAGCTGTCAACTAAGGTGGAGTTGTGATGAGAAACAACCAGTCTTGCTGTGTTGTTGGAATTGGTCGAGTCAGAAAAAGTTACACAATGGGACGATCGGAACAATTGATCAAGTTCGACATGTTCCAGACCTGAAAATGAATCTCATCTCCCTGAGTACCCTAAATGCAAAATGGTATAAATTTTTTAGTGGGGATGGAGTCTTGAAGGTCCGAAGGAGCGTCAGGGTTGTACTGGAGGGATGGAAGAAGTCTCAGCTATACATCTTGCAGGGAAGTACGAACCAGTTAAGAATCATCTGGACAAGTTCAGTATCGTGGTGGAAATTCAGTTTGATACAGTATCTTTTGAGATGAATCTGGGTCGGTTCAGAACATTGCTCAAGGGAGCATTGGTGATCCCACTTTGCCACTAAATTTAGCGATACACTTGTTCAGGTGCCAGAGTTAGATTCATGGAGCGTAAGTACAGTGTTGTCAGTGATGTCAGTGATGCTTTTCGGGATCATTGAAGGTAACAGTTCTGGCAAAGGGCCTTCTGATCAGGTATTCGGTGTGGTTTCTACTACAGAGTGTGCTTCCACTCTGTTTGGGCAACAGTAATTTTTTGGTGGAATTTTGGAAACTCGAGAGTAGGGTTCAAGTGTCACATGTGGACGCCATACAGAGGATGATGGTTTTGGTGATGGGAAGTTTTGGTTACTCTGCTAAGGAGTTTGGCCACTTCGATGCAGATGAGTTTATTTCTCACGTGGAGAAATTTTAGAGCTCCGCTTGTTGCATCGAAATTTGAGTCAAAGTGGAGATTGTTAGGGTTATGAATCAAGTTTAGGGTTTGGAGTCAAGTTGTCGTGCGTTGAATGTGGAAAAGAATCAAATTGTATCCAAGATGAAAAAAGGAAACAAGAGTCCTAATTTGGAGGAAGTTCTATGCGACTGCAAGGTTTTTTTAACTATGTGGTCGCTCATGGTCATGCAGAAACTTTTCAACCCTGAAAAGTTCCTCCATGCGAAAACATGGAATTTAACTGTGCGGTTGCACAATTATTTTTGCCGCCGTCCGATTTTTTCTCGTTTTACGCATTTTTACCTAATTTCTTACCTTTCTAGGCTCCTTTAGGGTTTTTGGCCGAGACCTATAAATATAGGTGCCCTCTTTCAGTTTAGTAGAAGCTTTTACGGTTGAGTTGTATAATTCTCTCCCTATTGTCATTATAATAAAACATCGTTACTCTGCTTAACTTTCTTTTGTGCTTTACTTTAATCTTGATTCATATTGTTGTGATTTTGTTACATATTTCATACTATGTCATTAATCTCAATTCTTTCGTTGCTTTTGGGATCAACAATGAAGGCTATTATTTTTTTCACTTTAATTAAAAAAGTAAAAATAAAACTTGAACCTGTCACTTCAGTTATCGAAATTTTGTTAGCATATGTGGTCATCAAATTTACAGAAGTAATTTCAAATAATTATTTTTCATGTATCTATTAGTCAATTTAATGAATTTTCATAGGTAAACTCAACGGGTTTATTGAAATATTTGATGGCGTTACTTGTAGTGTTGTCGAATTTTTTTAGGATGATATTTATAAGCTTAAATATGCTACTTTTGTTGCTAAATATAAAAAGTTCAAATGAGTAGTATAAACCATAATCGCATGTGAAAGTGTCAATTTTAGCTTATTCATGTCTAATTTTGTTAAATAACTAACAAATACAAAGATAATAACTTAATAAGACTTTCTGAGTTTAGTGACATTTTTAAATCGGTAGCTTATTTAATCCCTTTTACTTGGTATTAATTAGATTATTGCAATTGGAACTTACAATGCATGCTCGAACGATGAGTGCATGAACTCGCAAGTTTTGACATTTGAAGGTTTTAATTAATATAGACTTTTCCATTTTGAAATGGCGACCAATTAAAAAAATTTGGTGCAATAATAATACTTTAATAAAAATAATAGAATTTTTTTGTAATAGGTCAATTTCATTTTTTAATGGAATTTGGGACCCTAATTTCGGAAATTTGTGTTCCCACTTGGACCTATTTCGTCTGAGAAATGTACAACGACTGTTGCTAAAGATGCAATTTGTGATGCTTGCCGCCTTCAAATTTTGGACATAATGACTTTGTTGTGTGCATAATAAATTTACATAAAGAATGATATAATGTGTTATGAAAGGAAAAGATTAATTGAAAAAGTTGATTGTGTTTTAAACAGGCAAAAGATAGAGTGTCACGTGACATCATGAACATTTTATGTATATACCTATGTACCTGTAGCATTACTCTTAATTTCATTACTTCGATTTGACAGTGATCTCAATTCGAGCAAGATGGTCCACAACTGAGATGACTTTTGCCAATTAAAAAATTGAACCTAAATAACCTAGCTTAGTTCGAGTCAATTCACAGATTGGCCATTAGACTAGATAAACGTGTCGATCAATTTATTCACGATTAACTTAAAATGAATATTCAATTTCTTTCTGTTATATTTTAAATTTAAATTTTATTGAATTTTATAAGAGGAAAAGAAATAGAAAACAAGAAGTTGGATATGCTTGGTCGAGGTCAACTTGAAACATTGTCGAGTCCGTGTGACAATCGAGTACACCTTAGAAAAAAGAATTAGGTCCTATCTCAAACTGTTTTTTTACACAAGCTTGATCTACGCTTGGATAAAAATCCAACCAGATCGAATCAACCTAAAATCAATGACACAAACACGTTGGTGACACATTGATTTAAATATTACTATAGTATTTTATATCTTATTTTGATACATTTTAATATATGAGTATCCTACAAGCTTTGAAATTTTAAAACATTTGTATAAAAAATAAGATACGAATTATGACTAGTAAGATACATTCCCAAAGTGTTCAAAGAGTGTCATTATGCAACACAACATGACGTGCTGAAAAGAAAAACCAAATTGTAGCAATTGCACACGACCATCACAGTCGTCGCCATCACTATCAAAAGCTATTGAACACCAATGGCATGGAAACGAGTATATACAACATGACATGTGTTGAAAAGAAAAACCAAATTGTAGCAATTGCACACGACCATCACAGTCGTCGCCATCACTATCAAAAGCTATTGAACACCAATGGCATGGAAACGAGTATCTGGACTGTTCTAGTAAAAATCCAACCTAACTAGATCACACCCACTTTTAAACCTACAATATATGAGCATTCTACTCGTTGAGCCTTTAAACTAAAAACAGAAATCTACCTTTCACCCAATAAAAGAAATCGTAATAGAATACAATCGGAATTCAAGGTCTTTTCGGTGCACAGGCCAAACATTAATAACCAAATAAATTTCCTCCAACTTAACACTTCAAGATTTAAACCAGATGATCCATCCATAGAATTGAAATACAAAATTATGAAATAAAGGAATTAATGGATGCAACAGCCCAGAAAAGCCTTTTTCTCATTTTATACAACTCCATTCATCATTTTCTACATCACCAGTGGCTGCACTGCTGGAGCTTTTAATCAGTTATGTGGTGGCAAAAGAATATGTCTGAAACAAATACGATATAATCTTCTTGTAATCTCCAATTTGTGTACCATTGTTGGGATCAACAAGGTAAGGAACCTGCAGAGTACACCACATTACAACAATCCTGGAAATTGTTAATTTTCATACATACTTTGCAACAACAAACTAAGCCTTGTTCTCAATTAATTTGGATTCATCTATACACATAATTTCTCCATTCCATTAAACTCATTTCTTGATGTGCTGGAAAATGTTGAGCAACTAGATTCTACAAACTATGGCAGTCATGTTTATTCGGATTCATGTCATAGGATTAGATAGAGTTTTATGCTAACAGTTAACCTACGGCGAATATTTACAGTATGTAATTAGAACTTTTTTGTGGTTCCGAATCTCATCTGATTTCTCTTATTCTGAATCATCTCTCAGTGCTTCTCTATTTTTTACAATAAGCAACTGTCTGATTTTTTTATGCTCAGCGATTTTAAAACAATTCAAGGATCCAAATTCAAATTGTTTAGATAGATGCAGTTCACAGTTGGAGTTGATAGCAACAATGGGGACGCCTATGGCAACGGGTAACTAATAGCATTTTACAGGCATAAGATGAAGAAAAAAAAGGGTAGTCCCAACTTTTGCCAATATTAAACAAGAGATTGTGAGACTAGCATACTAAATTTAGACGAATACAGGCAAGAATCTCGTAGCTATAGACAATGGGGTCTTTTGATCCCAAAAACTAGTCAATTCACGAATGTTTCACATTAGTTCCTGTGGCATGTGAGGTAGCTTGCAAGAAGAAAAATCAAAGACACTCAACCTGTTAACTCTTAAGTTTTTATTGTCAATCTACAAATCATGAAAAGCTGACCTGTTTCGATCCACACATATCAAGAAGTAGCTTTGTGCGTACCGACCCTTCACCTACACTTTGAAGTATGTATGGAAGCTCCAACTCACAAAGTGCTTCACGCACTATTCGTGCATGCTGTAAAAGTAAGTGAAGTAAAAGAAAATGCATCAATTTCACTGAAAATCTCATTTTGTGGCACAATACTTCAGTTATGGATATTCAAGTTTGCTGTTTACATTAGGTTTTGTATTCCAATGATATTAATTAGAATAAAGCTCATGAAGTGTTTTGGAGTGTGTTGCATTTAAACAATCTGAGAAAAAAGGAATACTCAACAATGACATTAACGCATATAGCTATCACGTTTGATTATTTCATCTAACTATGCAGTAATTTCACTTGAGATTTAGGCCGAATTTATTTGTCACATAATCTATCCTATATATATAGGAGTACAATTTTTTCATCAATGATACAAATGCAGCTGGCATATTCAACTCCTAGTGGAAATCTATTTCTAGCATTTACTCTCAATAAAGCCCAACTTTGGCTTTTCTAAGCTTAATCACTTAACCAAAGATCCAAATCCAAATACCAAAAACTCAAAGAATTTCTAAGCAGAGAAGAAGGCTAAGAGAGTGTGCCCTAGTCCAATTAGTCTGAATATGCCCCCCCAAGCCGGCTTCCTCTCTTGAAGTTAGTCCAGATTCACCATTTGGCTTTTCAACTCCTCTCAAGTGACGGCTAAAGCCCTTGCATGAACATGGGAGCAAGACCCCCAAGCATTTCTCACATTTGTAGCTTTCCAAACATTAGTCTAAACCTCAACTTTGATTAGATGAGGATAACGAGGCATCATGTTCTCAAATTGGTGGCTACTCTCTATGGCCAAGATGCTCATTTCATTTCATTTCTGCTCATGATAGGTCAGGCCTAGCCCCTATCTAATGTGCTTTAATTAAAAAATGAAAGTTTAATATCATGTCATGCTAACGAACTTTAAATACTGCCCCCAAGAAGGAAAATTATCCCCCTTTATTATCATTATCAACAACTTGAGTTTTCATATCTGCTTTAATAATATCATTAATAAATTAGAACTAATCATGCAAAATCCTAGTTTTAGACTGGTCTGAATGTGTATGATACATATCACTGCTAGAAAGGAGATAGATCACTATATCTGCTTTTGTTGAAAAAAAAAAAAGAAAAAGAAAAAGAAAAAGGAGAGAAAATTACAATCTCATGTTAAAGAGAGGACCGTTTCCCTGTGGTTCTGTTTTCATGAAATATAGGTAAAGATTACTTAAACTAGTTACTACAGCTTTAAATTCAAAAAGTAAAAAGAATTTACCATTTCCAGGAAAGGGACCAAGCAAAGAAATCTGAGAAGAATTAGCTCATGTATTTCTCCATTTTATAAGGATTACAAATAAGCTAATGACAAACAGTGCCCTACTTCATTACAGCATGTCATCAGTTACTTGACATTCTTTCATGCTAAAATAAGTAAAAGAAACATCAGAAACAACACTTAAATCAGTATCTTACAGGATTGTTTTCGAATGAGAAAAGTTCCAATTTTCTTGGAGGTGGTTCTTTAGTGGAATTTTCCCAAAATGTCATTCCTCTTCCTGCTCGAAGTAGAGTTGGCACCCATCCTGTGACCAAGGTGCTGCATAAGCAAAAATGATTTAGTCACGACGCAAAAAAGTAAAAGGTGCATCAATGTTATATCGGTGCATACTACATAGTATTAGTTAAGACGTGACAGTACAATAGATAAGTGCTTAGTTTCTTTCTCTTCCTATTGACTAGTGTTGTCAAGTCCACTTTCTCAAATGACATTTAGATGTAAATGCACCATGCTATAAACTAGCAGCAGTCACAAATATATAAATTCACATGCTGGGGGCTGGCCCAAGATGAAAGATTTCACACATTCTCTCTTTTGATATAGAAACAAACTATATCTTAACGCCCTCTGTACTTCCAAATGTACTAATTTCAATTAAGAAACTAGCGAACAGACAATCCAGATGATTTGGGCCTTGAAATCTCCACCTTGTCAAAGCCAAAGCCCAATGGTCCTTACTATTGGTATTCAAGAAGTGATTCGAAGCAGATCACAGGTGGTATGTTTGGTCGAGCTTAAGAAAGAAGTAGAAGTTCTAAATCATGTTAGGATGAGTTACTTTCTACTTTGAAGTAGTAGTAGTAGTAGTAGTAGTAGTAGTAATAATAATAATAATAATAATAATAATAATAATAATAATAATAATAATAATAATAAAAGTAACTCTTATCCAACTGTCAAATAAAACAAAACAAAACACTTAGTTCCAACTTCCAACTTTGACCCATAACAAAATTATTTATTTAAAACTTACGCATTACTTTTATGTAAACTTTTTAAGCTCAGCCAAGCAAACTTTTAGTCTCATAGTATATGTAGTGATGGTAATTAACAAAAGAATTATAGATAATCTTACTAGATTAGGAATAATTATAGTTTGATTTAGATTAGCATATTTTAGTTTATTATAGTTTCTAGTTTGACTTCAATTAGCGTTTTATTTATGTAGATATTTTTCTACTTAAATCAGGTTTATTTAAACTCTATGTAAGGAGAATCTTTATGTTAAGATTTGATTATTGAATAAACTCATATTCTCTTCATCTAATTTCTCTATTTTCTTTATATCTGTTGTACGGACACTTCAACTAAAGTAGCTTATTCGTGCCTAACACATGTCGATCTCTACCACGATCATTTTTCTTTTCTTATTAGACACATTATATATTTTTAACCAATAACTTTGGTAATAACAAATATGTACTCATATTTCAATATTTCAATAAGAAAAATTAATAACAAGCATACAACTAAATTTAAACTATATAAATGAAGGATTTTATCAATGTATCGACAATGTGCCGTGTTAGTATTTTTTTTAAAATCCACGAATCCAACACATGTCGTATCGGACACAAGTATTAGTGTCAATGTATCTTAATTCTCTATCTTCAACTTCTCTTCACTTCTTCTACAAGTCTCATTCTCATTCATTGTGTTATGTGTCATAGTTTTCTACATCTTTACAAGGCTCTCCAAACAAACAAAATTTCATAAGTGATTAGTAAAACTGGTATCAAGACCAATAATGGTCCTTTCGAGAGTGAATTTTTTTGAAGTTTCTCTAAATGGCTCTTCATATTGAGCCAAAGGTTGGTGCATAGCAGTAAAAATGATAGCATCCCAACAATTATTGATATTGAATCATTGACTACAAAAAATTCTCAAGCAACATTTAATTCAGACGATGAAATAGTGTCTTGCTGGTTTGTAGCGTTATCATGCTCATTGTGACCTTTTTAATAAAAATAATTTCAGAAGTAATTTCTAAAAGTGAAAAGTGAAAGATTTCTGGCGATCGAATCTAATTATATGAATTTCTCATTTGTCAACACGTCCCTTTGTATCTGAAATTGCAGAATATATTGAAAGCCTAAACAAGCTCAGAAACAAAATACCTCTCCAACAGGCAAAATGACGGACTCCTTTCTTCACCATATTGTTGAAATAAGTATTTTACAATGTCACCTGTGAAAAATATTCACATTGTCAAACAATACATGACAAGAATATGAAAGACTGTTTTATACAATCAAGTTAAAGAAATCTCAAGATGCTTCTGCTTGAGACAGAAGTGCTTGTTTAGGAGAAATTATAATGGGATTATAAAGAAACAAGAGTAATTGGTCCCATGAAATTTGTGGATAATATTTAGGTAATAGTTGTGAATGTATGGATAAAATTAATATTTGACTTTGACTTCAAATGATAAAGATATTATAATTTCTCCTAAACATTCACTAAGAAGTTAAAAGGCAGAAATGGTCACAGTGTTTTAGAAACTAAATCCACATGGAAAAAAAAGTTACTTCCATATATGGACATGATATTAAAGTAATAAAGTAAATTGCAAACAATATCCTCGATATTCAGAAACTTGTTTCTTGGGGCTCTACTCAGCAAGCATTTGTCTTTGTGTGAAATAACTACTGAACACAAGTGACAGATGTCTCTTTTGGGAGCTCCCGAACGATATTATTTGTTTAATTCCATAGAGATTAGGGGAAAAGTTCATATTTGGAACATGTTAGATACAACAAGTGTTGGAAGGGAAGATCAGCTTCTTACTGCTTTCATATATAGAAATTCCAGTATTGGGGTCAACAAGGAAAGGAAACCTACAAAAGATCACAAAGTGAAAGGAATATCAAACTGTGAAGGGTGATTTCACAAATGGATAATTGCATTACTGAAAGACCTCATCTGTTGGCTTTTGGATCTATGTTGTACAAGGTAAATACAAGGACATATAATTTATTCTGGTGTTGTGTATTAAAAGAACCTCCAAGTTGATCGTGCAATTTCAGAATTGTGTGTGTATGTCGCCATTTTCATGGAAATGATCATCGATAATGAAAATAAAAGAAAAAGAATGTCAAGTCATGGAAGTATTTTCATTACTTTTGTTTTGTTGATTAGTACTCATAGGTCAGTATATAACATTATAAGAAATACGTAGGTTGGCAGTCTTTGTCATGAGTATAGCTTCATTCATTACTGAAATTCGAAGACAACATTACTTACTGTTCTCTGCCACCTAGTCTTCTGACCATTTCCCTGTGTCTCACCGAACCCTTTGGGCATGGATAGATCTGCAAACCATATAGAGTTTGAGTCAGAAAACAAAGCATTTACAAATATTTATAAAGTAAAAACTAATGAAAAAGTGTTTGTCACTAAACACAAAATTTCATTATTTTGTTGTTGGAACAATTTGACATTACAACTTAATTAGTTTATCACTGTAGGAATTAATGATGTTCCACATCAGGGTAAGCACGAAGACTCCAATTTTTGGGGAACTCATATGGTGAATGATTGATCAGCTTATATGGCTAATAGACTAACTCCATGAAATTACAATAAGTAAAAAATTCATTAAGACAGAAGTGTGAGGCAGAAACCCTAAAGCGCCTCGATGAGAATTGTTAGAGCAATAAACTTCCCATTCTCAATGAAGAATTATATTAGGTACAAATACTACTAAGCTATCCTCAAGTAAAACATCTCTTATTTTAAAAGATCAAGGCATTTATTCAAAGATAAAACTGAAAGATTAATTAGACTAGTTAAACTGAAATTGATTATCATAACTAGTATCATGGCATGTTTTAAGAGAATATCATTAAAGAATATGCTTCAAAATGAACTTCGAAATTTGGGTATCTTCTATAGCATAGCTATTCAGGCACTAGCTTTTGTAGTTATCCCTTCTATCTGTTGCTCGAGAAGTTGTAAGATAGCACCATCATCACATATCTGAAATTGATTTTAAAGATTTATTGTGAATGTTGTGATCCCATCCACGTGAGAAAAATTTATGGAACTGCAAAAATGGCAGCTAAAATCAGAATTTTACTTATTTTCTTCCTTGTTTATAAATATTGGGAAGTATATGACCACATATTTTATTTCATTTCCCTGCCATTTTGAAGTGCAAAATGTATCTGATATCTGAAACAAATGTGATATATCAGAGCTGACATAGATCCAATGCATCCTTTGAGATCAATGTTTACACCTTAAACTCATATGTACCAAAATCGATCATCAACCTAGGAAGAAATATGGATGGAACATTCAACTTGATTATCTAACCTCTAGCTAAGCGTTCCAAGAGAAACCTATAATATTTTGTAGGTAAGATACTAGGCTCCTTGCATCACAGGGAGTTAGCTAGTGAAATCATTTAGCTCATGACAGATATCAGCAACCAACCATCGTCTACCACAAGAATTATGGTTTCCCAAGACCAGATCATATGTACCATCTATATCTTCCTCAAGACAATTTCCTGCAACTTATAGAGTAGACTGTACTAGCATTTCAAATTCATATGTAACATGATATTCTTAAAGAGTAAAATAAGGAGTCGCCCTCTGGTCTCTACCTTAAAATAGTATGGACACAAAAGGATCCTATAATAAATTTTTTTCCCCTCCCATTATTCTAAGAAGTCACCTCCAACGATAACTTATCCTTCGAGCCAATTTACAGACTAAGACTTAAAAGCCCTAGAACCTGATGAAAAGTTAAAATAAGTGTTCACCAGATCCAGTGCAGAAGCGTTTTTGAGAGGTTTGTGCCTAACTGAAGCAAAGGGGACAAATTTCTGTTTACATTTCTCTTTCAGTTGATTATAATAAGTATAAATATCCACAAATCTCACCCTAACTGTTGTTTGGAGGCTGGGTACTCATACTTTATTGACAACTACTATACATATTTTTTTTACACATCTCCACCTCTCGAACAGCTGAAGTGGGAAAAAAAGTCTACTCAAATTTGGCAACCTCCCCGACAAACCCCTGTGCAAGGGATCCAATCTAAAGCTGTATATACATAGTCCACAAATAAGGGTGCTTGTTAAACTTGAAAGAGTAAACCAACAGAAAACCTCCCGTCCTTAACTTTTTCAAGAAATATATACTATAATTTGCTAAAATTTAGAAATGTCTGCAAAGTATTACGAAAGATGCTATGCAAACGTAGACGTACACACCTGTACAGAAAGATCAAGCTCGGTTATGGCTTCTCGAACCCTCCTGCAAAACGGGCATGCCTCTGTTGACAATCCCTACAATCTTTAACTCCAAGATCAAAGCAAAAATGGCTGAAAGATTATGTTTTATTCCAGTGTTCTGTGTGACAATATATCTTTTCCATTTACTGTGTTATCTAAGTCAGTTATTAGTGAATCAAGAACTCACTAATTATCCTTAGCAATATTAGCATGTATAGGATATTCTTACAGAAGGGGATAGGAGAAGAATATTACACAAATGACATATGAGAGCATGACATATGAGAGCAGAATGATATTATCTCAGTTACATAATCAAGGACTCACCAAATTCAAAAAGTTGCAAATGCAGTGGAGGATCTACTTTCTGTTGGCTGCTTAAACTATCAAACTGCGATCTTGATCCCCACAGAAGCCTTGCCAAACTAGATAACGACGATGTTGTTTCCTGTTATCAACAAACAAGTCTCAGGCATATGGAAAAAAAATAATCTAAAATGAAAAGAAACAGAAGTCTCTAAAGTGCATTTAATTAAACTGCTGAAATCATCGAATAGTTTTTTTTCCTTAGTAATCCACTAGAAATGATGCATACTCTTTTAGTCAAATTGGGTAAGCATGTAAAAGAAGATTTTAATGATCAAAATGGCAGCAAGATTCTAAACTAAGAGTACTCCATCTAAATACTTCATAAACCACTCATCCAAATATCACATGAGATGGATGTAATTGAAGTACCCCTTTCTCAGTGAATACTAAGTCCTAACAAATCCTTCTAGCAATAAATGTGATAGTGACTAAGCCACAAAATGTGAGAAACAAGATTCCTTCCAAGTTGAACCATCTCATTCAAAGCATAAGTTAACAGAGAGAGGAGATATCTATTTATTTAAGTTTTGTTTCAAGTTGCCAATTCACGTGCAGGCCTGTTTCATGTTCTCAAATATGCACAATTTTTATGCAATAAGCAGTGACAAGACTTAATTCCAATATCTTTGTCTGCCGTTATGTCATGTTGAACCGACACATCTAAGGCTTAAGTTGAAATTGTTTATTTAAATTTTTCCTTCCACACAGCATCTTGAATAAATAGACATATTTGTACCATACTGACTATATTACGAGTACAAAAACAAATGAGTAGTGCACATTTAGTTAAAAAAAATAAAAGGTTTTTCTTAACCCCTTATTCACAGCTGAACACAATTGAATGTATAATTCAAATTAGCATCATATTGACAAACTTCCTTAGCTCTGAAAACTAGAATTATGTGAACCTATTTCTTATATATATTAGCTTCTTCAGACAATTACCACCATAAGGCAAAAGAATTCATATCAGAAGATTAATAACTTTTTTTTTTCCCTTATTTTTCTCTAATAAGAATAAATGAATACTACCTTTTCACTTGGTGATTAAAATGAGTATTAATAACAAGTGTGCAATACCTCCAGCAGGTAGTTCCGTTCCTGAGAGGGATCTCCAGCCTGCAAGAAGACGCCAAACATACTAAATGGCAGAAGATATACTAAATAACAACATAAGATTTGTGACCTTAAGTTTCATGTAATGGAGATTGCAACAATGTGCTGTACACTAGGTTGCACATAAACTTCTGAGACTAGCATTTAATTTTGAACACAATTCGAAGACCGAAATTTCGAAGAAACTTTTGACCAGAACTGTCTTGACTCCCACCCGTGCTCACCAATTCACTCCATTCACCATCTCACTACTCACTCACAACCAATGCATTCTACAATATTTTGTAGCCTACTCTATAAATTCAACACATGGAAGGAGGAAAGGGAGTTGAAGATTGCTAGCCATGGTGCAAAACAGAATTTCCCCCCTTTCTCTTTATCTGCTTCTCTCTAGCTCTAATTCTTAATCTGAATCTTCTTTATTCTTCATTCTCTGAATCTGTCCTCCACTTTCTTTCTTCTTCCTCTTTAATGTTAGTTTTGCTGTAATGATCATTATTGCAGTCAATATATTGGGTACTGGTTTGCAGTCGGATTCTGATCCATTCTTACTGATTAATTGAGGGTGTAAAGTTGAAGTCCAACGATACCAAATGGTATCAGAGCATCTACAATCCTTAGGCGTATCTCGATTGGATAGCATAATGGAAGAAATAAAGAGCTAGTGATTTCAATGTTGATTGAATTGGCAGAGGGTAAATCAGCCTCCAAAGAGGAACATCAGAAGGTTGAAGATTCTGTACTTTGTTATGGCTCTAATAGTGCTGAAATATGTGAGAGATTTTGCTGAGGATACAACTAAGAAATCTAGAGGCATAACAATAGATGTAGAAGGTGAGGACTAGGTACAAGTGTGGAGGAAACTGAAATAGCTGAAGAGGAGGCTGAGGAAGAGGACATGGGAATCTCTGAACATGCAGGAAAAGAATATGGAGTTATGGAGGATTGTTATTCTGCTGTTGAGGGTCTTCAATGGGATTCTAAACAGGCTTTTTTTGGTGTTTTGGATTGACATGAAGGAGAAGGAGCTACAGAATTTGCAGCAAAGAATTTAGACAGGAACCTTATGAACCAATTGGCAAAGAGAAACCAAGAAGATGATATGAATAGGGCATATGCTCCCTTGCACTACCTGCTTAATCCAAGGGTAGTGAAGAGAATAAGGCAGCTTGAGAGGATGCTAATTTCATACAAAGAAGATATCCAGATTTTGAACCTTGAGGACAAGGTTAGTTTTAAGGGGAAGGGATACCATGATCCCACCGTGCTCACCAACTCACTCCACTCACCATCTTACTATTCACCCACAACAGTGCATTCTAGAATATTCTGTAGCCTAATCTATTAATTCAGCACATGGAGCAAGGAAAAGGGAGTTGAAAATTGTAGCCTTGGTGCAAAACGGAATTTTCCCCTTTCTCTTTATCTGCTTCTCTCTATCTCTAATTCTGAATCTGAATTCTTTTTCTCTTCTTCTTCCTCTGAATCTGTCCTCCACTTTCTCTCGTTCTTCTCCTCTTTACTGTTAGTTTTGCTGTAATTGATCTTCATTATTGCTGTCAATTTATTGGGACTTGGGTACTGATTTCCTTTCAAGTTTCTGATCCGTTCTTACTAATTAATTGAGTTTGGGTGTAAAATTGAAGTCCAACCATAACAAAAATATGTGAAAACTAGGATTAAGATAGCAAATCATTAAGGACTTTACAGCTGAAAATTATCATAATTTACGGTTTAATACTCATTCTTAAACCTATTAAATAAAATACTTACAGAAAAGAGTTTTAGCAAAGGGCATAGAAAAGTCAAGAAACTGGTAGATGAATTGCTGCCGCCATTGCCAAGACCAGCGTCAATTTTCCTGGAAGCAAATTGTGCTCCATTTTCATCCTGAGAAGTCTTTTCCTCCTTTTCTTCGTTTAAAGAACATACTGCCCCGAATCTATTTCTTGTGCAAGAACCGAAATTCTTATTTTTCTTGGAAATTACTAGAGCTGATGAGTTGAAAAGAGTAGTAAAGTGAATTTGATTTGTTGGAGAATTTTCGTAATTATTTATATCACTGTAGTAATTTTTGTGGGATAATAATGGCGGGTTTGGAGGAGAAAACGTACAGGAATACATTGTAGATGACATGAGTGGTTTATGGGAAGTGAGAGGCCATGAAAAACGATAATTGTGTAATCTTGAGAGAAAATTACAAACGGAATCCTCGATTTATGCAAAGTAGATGTTCAAGTTTTTTTTGTTATATTTGGATCCTTATAGTTTGATGTTATAGTATTTCTCTATAAACAATTTTCCATCCATTTTAGACATTTAAAAGTCCCTTGATTTATGGTCTGTTTGATTGCAATAATGAAATTTGAGTGGAAAGGAAATGAATTTCGAAGAATTGAATTGCCTAGAAATTGTTTTGATGGGAATTGTTAATTAAATATGTTTTATTGATATAATTTTTTACTTGAAAAATATTGAAATTTTGGATTTTTTGGTGTTCATTTGACTTTATTTTTTTTATGAAAATTGCCAATTAAAAAGATAGAATTTTTTATAATTGTGGATAGACTTTGTTCTCATTGCTGGAAAAAAAAAGATGAAAACCCATTTTCCCACCAAAACCTAAAGAAAATCAATTCCTTAAAACCATGGAAAAGGGGGTCGCGTGGAGGGAGGGGGTTGGGGAAAACAAATTCCATGAAAAAATTTGCTATCAAACAGGTCATTTTGGTGGGAAATTTTCCATGGAAAACTCATGATATCAAACAGGGCCTTAGAGAAAAATAAGTAAAAGAAAAAAGGGGAGGAAAAATAAAGAAAACAAAAAGAAAGAGTATAAAAAAATCTCACTCCAAATGTTACACCGCTTCAATTGTCGTTACTCTTTCATTCTGGCGTTTACTCCACAACGAACTTCTGCTAGCTCCAAACCTTGCAAATCATTCGAGCTTCTTTTCCTTTTCTTCTCGTGACTCATTTCCCTCTCCTTGTCCCCTATTACCTCCATTTTTTCCATCTCGCTTATGATTGCATTTTGGGGTACGGAAGGAGCGATCGAAAGAGTGAAGGGTCATTTTTTAAAAATATTTTTCTATTCTTTTGTTTATTATTTATTTTAATTGGATGTGACGGTAAAATCATCTACTTAATAAAAATATGACTTTTTAACCATCAATTGAATGAGAACCAAATGCAGAGACCCAAGTGCTGCAAATGTTAAAGGTCTGCGATCCATATACAACAAAAAGAGATTGAGAACCTTTCAAGCATATTGCCCCCAAGCGATAACTTCTTTCTGGTGCAATGGTGCCTAAAGTTAAGGGTATTACCATCCCAAAATTTATCAATTGCAGCTTATTGCATTCGACTACGATTAAAACACAGTTTAGTGCCTGTTTGAGCCACATTATTTCAAAAAAATACATTCTTAAACAGTAATTTGACATCATTTCAACCATATATTTTTCAATAAAATAATATTACACACAGATCAAAAAAATTTCCTTACTTTTTAACCACACATTTTCCATTAATACACTATTCAAGAATGCATTATTACCAAAATAATGTGGCTCAAACACCCCCTTAATAAATACACCAAAATAAATTTACAATTACATACTTAATCTAATAAAAAAAATAATAAAAAGAAGAATTCTAGATTTTAATAAATATACTACGACTAAATTAACTTCATTTTTTTCTTTTCTTCTAGACATTTCTTTCCACTTTCTACTTTTTTATGTTGCACGCATCCTTGGCAAAGAAGAGAGCATTAGTCTACTACTACTTTATATGGACTGGACCAGAAAAGAAGTAGAAAACATTACCTATTTCTCCTCATCCACATTATCAAGAGAAATGGGTAAGGTTTTTTTCTCATCCACACTATTTTTTTTTTCAAAGAACGGGAATATAAAGAAGAAAAAGAAGAAAATTTCATTTCAAAGAAATGAGATTGTTTCTCTTAGTCAATAAACTTGATTTCTACTGTCAATTATGGATCATGCTAGACTCGAACCCTTAGATTTTGTGTAACAATGCCCACAAATTATTACCATCAAGCCGGTGTAAAAAATCATAAAGAATTGCATTTTGCGATTATAGCAAATAACGAATTGAAAAAAAAAAATCATAAAGAATTATTAAACAAATTGATGATTTCTTACATGCGGTATCACGGCATAAGACTTGCAATTATAGAAAAGAAGAAGAAGAAATTCGTTTATGTTCGCGGTGTAATCAATTAAAAGTATATTAATTCTGATTATGTAATTTTACTTTAGGCTATTTAAGTGAATAAGAAAGAAAATTAAAATTATGGTGCACTTAATAAATTTTGTAGTGATAATATAATTACCATAAAGTTAAAGGTGTAATCTATATAAACTTTAGGTAACTTATGTCTTATGCCCCATAGGGATTCAATTATACAAAATAATTAACATGCAAAATTTATGACTAAATTGCGCCATTTTTTTGAGTTTATAACTTTATATCTTTCTTAATGGGTACTACTATTTATATCCACAATTTTTGAAAATATAATTATATTATATTTTTAATCTTATATATATATATATATATATATATATATATATATATATGAAATAAAGGGGAAGGAATCGAACCCAAGACTCACAATATATAAAAGGAAGCTCTAACCAAACTACTAGTTATATAACCTAAAATTTTTATCTATTATAAAAAATAATAATAAAAAAAATAAAAAAAATAATCAGGCCAATCCTGAGACCGTTCTAGTATATATATATATATATATATATATATATATATATATATCATTCTAAATTCATCAATTAATATTTATTTTCATAAAATATTTTGAACATTTATATATTTTTTAGAGTTTGTGTTTAATTAAAATTCTAACAATCATAAAATATCATTTTCAACTAAAATCATAAAATATCTTCTTCAATTGTAATTTTTTAAAAAAATAGAAAAAACACATGTTATTTTAATTATAATTCTTTCCTGATATGAAAAATAGAATCTTAATTTTTATACTTTGTTTTAAGTATTGGTTTGACACATGAAAGTATACGAGAAGTTTCAAAATAAGTTTCAATACCTGTTCAAATATTTTTACATTACAAAAGAAAACAAACTTAAAATTACCAATCAAAGCACAAATAATCAAAATTATTAGCTTATAAGCAAAAAGTAAATAAATAATTAATTAACATATGATTCGAGGAGAGATTTATTTAGTTGCGTAAGCAGTGTACTCCTGAGAGAATCCAATAAATTAAAGAAAAGATACTCTCTAACCTTTGTAATTAAATATTAAAGCACCGTCATGACAATATAGATAAGAAAAATTAAGAATCATATTAGATGTTTAAAATTGTATTAGGGATGTATTCAAAGTGGGATGAATATATAAAATTTGTATTGATTTATATATATAAAAGTTGTAAAGAATAATCTCTATGATATTTTTTCAATCGTGAAGTATTATTTTCTTTAATAGTTAATTGCATGATTATAATACAATATTTCCCTTTAGAATTATTTATAACCCTATAAATAGGGTTTTCTACTTTGTAATTGAAACTCAAATTTATTATATACAATTCATAATATTCTAATATGGTATGAGAGCGGATTTTATTTTATTTTGGGTAAAACTTGTAAGCTTTTGTTGTTCAATTTCAATTTTTCTTGTTTTGATTAGATATCTTCGTCTAGCCAATTTCTTTTTCTTTTCTATATATTATGTTTATATACTTTCAGTCAAGTCTTCTTTTGTTCTTAATTTAATTTGAATTTGGATTTCAGATTAATTCAAATCATGTTAGCTGTTGGATATTCTTTTTGCTTCATTCTTGAAAGGAGTTTATTTTTGAGGAAATTGAGATTCTGTTGATGCTAGAATTGTTTTGACGAAAATTATGTTATTTTTCATGGAATTTATTTTTATCATATCATCGTTTTAGCCTCATCGATCTTTCCTTCATCTGTAAGTATACTAATACTACCCATGGATTTTCAGAGTCCTACTAGTAAACACGGTCTATTTTTGTCCTGTCTAGTTATTAAAACCATTTGAGGTACTATCTTGACCTTATTCATTATAGTTGTAGGTGTCTCCTTCTAATCTTGGTGATTGTTTGATTATATTGGTAGATAATGATTTTTCATTCTTACCAACTTTGAGTTCTTTGTTTGGCATGGCTGGCGTGCAAACAATTTTAAGTATCATTTGATTCTTGAAAGATGAAGATTTGATTGGATCAATTTAATTTTCAAACTCCATTTGATTGTCACTACACCATATTGAGTTTGAGGGTGTTGAAGATATGTAAAGATTGTAATGAATAATCTCTATGTTATTTTTTCAATTTGTGGGATTATAATCCTTAGTAGTTAATTGCGTGATTATCACACGATCTTTTCCTTTTAATGTTACTTATAACATTATAAGTAAGGCCTTCTACTTTGTACAATCCTGTGGGATTTAACGTTACTCTAGATTAGGAGACTCATCCCCTCCAACTTAATTGAATTCTGAGTCATGCTATATTTACAGGGAGATTTCCCTGTACAAGTAGAATAATTCTTGAATTTACGAACCGATATGATATTTGTTAACAAGCAGCTCTAATTAATTAAATATGTTGGATAAAAGTTCAAGAAAATTGATTCGTGACAAAAATGTGATAAAGATCACACCGATGACTTTTAATTTTTATTTCAAAATGTTAACATATTAAAGAAAATATTAGAAATAAAATAAAATTTAACCAAGTATTTATGGGCTTAATAGGAGCATGTTTTGAAAATCCTAAAATTAATTTAAGCTGACCAAAAATATTTTTTATCCACACATTTTGTATAATCCACACTTCTACACATTCTATAGAACTTTTATAAGTATTTAAAATCACTACCAAACAAGCATTAAGTATTCTTTCCACGAGTTAATGACAACATTTTAGGATGATGTTTTTCAATTATTACAATGTAAAAGTCTATTTAAATCAAAAGATATAATGGGATTATTATTATTTCCGAAACAAGCACTACAAAAAAGGGCTCCACTGGCCAAATGTTTAGCGACCAATAAAACATGGTTGCTATAAAACACGTGTAGTGACCAACTAATGGTGGGTATAGCTTTTGGTCCAGTAAAA